GCGGTACTGCAGACTAGACCAGACTAAATTCACGTGGGCTACCCAGAAATTTTCCCCTTAGAACTCAATGCATATTAAAACAGCTCGACCTCAGCTGACAGAGAACCTTTTATAGCCAATCGGAATTGGGTATTTTAGTGTCCCTTGTCATCCTAAACTTTTGTTCTTCTTAAATCCTTCGGTTTTTGTTAAATCCACACTTTAGTGCCACAAACTCTGCTCGTCTGGCTCTCGCTCTAACTCCCGCTCTGATGAACTGCTCTGATTGGTCAGAGCGCGGCCGAGCCCCTCTGTGCACGTGAGTGAGACCCGGTGTGAGACCCACACACGCGTGTTTGGTGCAACGCATTATGGGAGATCATCCACTGCGCAGAACCGGGAGGACCAGACGATGCCCAAATACAGGCGAGTTTCCCATAGATCTTTGCAAGTTCCAGGCGACTTCTGCTAATCTTTCAGCCCCCATGCCGTCACAAAGCGCCACTGAGCACAACCATTCATTTGAATAGGGCGCCATCTTGGATCGCCGGGGCTTGGCTCGAACCCACTGTCGCCCCAAATGATTATGGCCGTGTAGAACTACCGCACCAACATCTGTGCAGGCAGCTTAGCTTTCCTGAGCTGCCCCAGGACGTACATCCTCTGCTGGGCCTTCCTTCTTGATGAGGGAGCTGATGGGGGAGTCCATCAGGGAGAAGGGGGCAAGAGGGTCTTCCTGAAGTCCACAATAATCTCCTCTGTCTTCTGGGCGTCCAGCTCCAGGTTGTTGCACCAGGACACCAGCCGGTCCATCTCCCCCCTGTAAGCGGACTCATCGTTGTCTGAGATGAGACCAATGAGGGTGGTGTCGTATGTTCTGTATGTTGATTAATTGTATTGTATTCTGTGTATTATTGTGGTGAATAAGTGAGAGTGGTTTGGGGGGGGAAGCTCTTTCATCCAGCCCCTTCTCAAACTTGTAATAGTGTGAAGAGTTGGGAATTTATGGTTTGCAGGTTTGAAAAAAAAAAAGAGCTATCTTGCCACAGCTACATTAGCACCATGTTTATACAATTTTTGACTTCAGTTCCTTACATTATAATGACATTTGCCCATAGTCAGCGGTGGGTAATGACTTTTTTGGACATTGTGGATTCTTTTTTATCTAATTTCTTTATTGTCTTACAGATCTTCATATTTTGCATCTAAACATGTAAATTCACTGATAATGATATCAACTTAGTTCTGTAACTTAAAGATAAATGTACTTATTTCATTGTATATCTATTTTCTTGGTTCTTTTGTTCATGATTTTAGCTTATTATTGTCCAATACTTATACAGTACAAAACGGTGTGAATATATTCTGTAATTTACATCATTCTATATAATTCAGATCTTTTTTGGGTGACATTTTTGCATTAGAAGTTGACAGTGGCTGCTGATAGTAGAAGCAAAGTCTCAACACGGCCTTCATGTATCTTCAGTTTGTATAAAAATCACCCTCTCATTCAATAAATATGACAAATGCCCATCTTTGTTTGTGGCATACTTTCTCGCTAATGATTTGATTAAACCTTTGAAGTCTCTAAGCAACACATATTTTACTTTTGTGAATAGCATCCATCAATGTAAAACAATAAACTGTTCTGAAGACGAGTGATACTGTAAATTACCCAAAGTCAGAAAAGCCGCAAAAAAACCCAACAGAAAACACCAATCTATTCCGACCGATCTTGAAAAAAAGCACTATCCAAATTGATGCAAGAAAATAGATGACCCCTCTGTTGAGTTTTTCTATCGCAGAAAAATCTCATTTCCCTACTTCTTGTGTTACTGATGAAATTCTTTCCAGCAGCTATCCCATTTCTGTTCAATAAACCCCCACTTCATTCATCTCCTGTTCCGTCAAATGTCAGGGGGGCAAGTGCTTCTTTGACAGGCCACAGATGAGGAGCACACATGGATGACCCAGCACGGTTATAGATATACAGCGGCACTCATGCCAATCGACAGAACCACGCTATCGAGTCAATGACAGGAAACCAGAGCATTTCTCGTAACCAGAAAAGACATCTCAAACTAGAATATGAAAAGTTGTTGAAAATGGAAGGACAAGTTAAAGGGGAGGTATGTCATGTTTTCATTGTAAATACATCTAAAATATTTTGTTTGTGTCCCCAGATAACAGGTCAAGTGTACAAATCTGATCGGACCTTTTCTGAACAAAAGTTTAAACTATTGTCATTCTATTGAAAATACAATGGACATGATATTTATATTCTTTATGGTTATTATGTGTTCTATACAGCAAAAAAGGATAGAAAATGAAAAATGAACTGCATATTTTTCTCATTCCAAGGGAGACATTTCTTATGTAGTTTAAAAACAACGTAATTTTGCTTGTCCCAGTTGTTTTAAGGCAGGAAAAATTTGCCCAAATTAAGACACATTTTGCCTACTTTGAGCCATTTCTGACATATTTTCATCACTTTTTGCAGTGTAGCAGAATAAGCCTCTCTTATTGCCAGTTTGTTAGGTGACATTTTGCTGGTCTTGCCTTCTTTTTTTCTAGTTTATTGACAACATTCACTAACAAAACAACAGCACCACACTTTAATGCGGGTACAAAAGTGCATATAGGCGCTACATGTGTAATCACCCATGACACCAAGGCCTCAGTAAAATGATATAGGAAGATAAGAAGCACTCAAAACAAGACATGACTTTGATTTTATTTTTTTGCAACTGCTTAAAGTTGGGGAACCTAACATTCAAACCACAATAAAATCGTTGGCATCTGTCACATATTTAGATCCGCTTTTTTTTGACACAAACGTTTTTTTAAAATGATTGAACAAGTTTCATCTATTGCCATATCTACAAGCCGCACACTCTAGTAAAAAAGTAAGTAAGTAGCAAGCCACACACAATTTGAAATCAGACCAAAAATCAAGATTCCTCCGATTTTTGTGGGAATGAAAGTTCTGCAAAAAAAATTCCCCAAAGGTTGGACTCCAGTAGAAGTATAGTTCTAGTTTAGCTGCATTTGAAAGTTGTTACCTGAGTGAACTTTGTCTTTCTGGCAATGTGTGTGCTTATGAGCTGCACAGAGGTGTCTAGACAGGAGCAGCGGGCTCTTAAGGCATGTTAGAGCAGCTAAAGCCGACCAAATCCACCTTCCAAAGACGTCTTAGAGAGTGCACGTGTAACCAGTGACATTTCTCATCCAGGATCAAATGCATTTCAAGTTTTTTTTATATATATATTCACTCATCACATCGCTAACTGCATATTTCAGAATTGCATCGCTCTGAAATGTGTGCAGAAGACATTTGTCAAGAAATGTTGAGAGAACTTGGCTAATGGTTTGGCTGCGGAGATTGATTGTGAGTGCGACAGCGTGATGGCATTAGCATGACGGTGTGTGTGTGTGTGTACGTGTGTGCCTACTTAAAGAAGACACATTATTATTGACCAGAAATAATTATGATACTATTTACTTTCATGGTTTAGAATGTGAAATTGTTACGTGGTGAAAACAGATGAAGGACTGAAAATGCAAGACTTCCAAAACAGATAAAGATTTAATAAACAAAACAAGAAAAATAACAACATCCAGGATATAACAGATCTCCAAACCAAGACCAAAACGAAACAGGGACAAATACACAATGGACCAGCAACAAGGGGAGCACAGGGTTTCAATGCACAGGGACACACATTAGGGCGAGACAGGAAATCAACTGAACAAACACTGAAAAGATCCAATATATCATAATAAAAGTGATCAAAAAGTTCACAGAATAGAATATATATGGTGAAAAAAGTATGTATGAAGGGAAAATAATGCTATCAGTCTGTAACTCCCTATGCTACCACCAGAGGGAGAAGTTGAGATTTTCTTTTTTTATTTGTTTAAAATAAATACTCTCCGCAAATTCAGCCATGTCATTGTAAATAACTAAATTGGACTTGAGACATTAAGTCATAGGGTCATAGTGGTACAATGACATCCCATATTACAAGACGGAGACACAGGCTTTTAGACAGAAGTGGTGGAGTTACACGTTTGTGCCAGAAGTTCCATATACTGTATAAGCATGGATGGATCTACAATAGCCTGGCCATAGCCATCCGTACACTCCGCTCAATCATCATTTCACTGCATGTAGCGTCTGGGTCTGTGTTAGCGATTACAATCGGTCGTATTTCGACCGGCTACTCAGAGAGCGCGTTGTAGGTCGGTGCCGGTGACGTCAAGAGTTTGCGTCGAACGGGCAGGTTGTAGTTTGGTAATGGCGAAGAATGCGATAGTAAAGTCATCCGTTCTGGTTCTATCAAGAAATTGAAGCAGGAGCAAGAGGAATGTTTAGCAAATGTAATCGCTGGTCAAGATTGTGGCGCTACTCCCCACGGGCTCCGTTAGCAGCAAACGAGATGGCTAGGCTAAATGCTAATGCTAACAACACACTCGGGCGCATTACATACGTCACAGTAAACTCAGATCCAATCGTTTCAATCTGCAAAAGGAGTTAACCCCTCCCACCTGTTCACGGAGCTCAATGGAGCACCTCCAGACCTTAGTATGAAATGTAATTTGTACTAAGGTGTGGTACAACCAGGCTAGATCTACCATAATATCTTCAAGTTGTTCTGTTTTTAATGAGTGAACAATGTCATTTAACTTGACCTGGGACCCATCAGCACATCCCAAGAGAAATCACTCAGTAACTATTCAAACATCGATCCATGATGCTGGTAAAGGATGGAAATGGAAAATCTCAGTGTATAGCTCTATATCTTATTTACAATCAATTCAGTCACAAAATGATCTTGTTATGGTCTTGGTAAACCCCTAAACAAACTCTCTTTTGCCCGCGGCGATTCTTATCACCGGTGTGTGAGGATTTATGCTTTGTGTTAAGTAAGTCTGAAGCTACTCATGTTTTCCCACTCCGTCAATAGCAAATACATTACCATTATCTAGTCCTTGCAAGCACACTATTAATTTACCGCCAGTCATCCCCACAGGGCACAGCGCAATGATCGTTGGAGGCAATCGGCTGTATCTGCTTTCCCCACTCCCCGGGACAGAATGTCGCGGGTGGGGATCGATGTCCACCGAGCTCGCCGGTTTGGATTGGGCGTAGGCAGGGCAGGGTAGGGTTGGAGCCATGTCCCCCCCCCCTTCCCTCTCAGACAGCGCAGAACTGGCCTGTCCCGATCAGAGGTTGAAGAGGACACAAGTAATGGATACGTACCTCTCCGGATGGTGACAGGAAGAATGGGTCTGCGGAGTGACAGGTGATGGGCGGGCAAACACACAGGCATTCATCACATGGAGAGGCGCGTTTGTTCTCCGGGGGAAGGTTTAGGCGGCGGTAATTGAAAGTACAAAGTGACAAGAGCGTGTAACAAAAGATTAAAGGTGATAGAGGACAGCCCTGCCTGGTTTCCTGTGGTTGAGGTTTTTGGGATCAGTTTTTTTTGTGTTTGTCTGGTGCCCTTATGTGTTTTGGATTGGCCTCTGCCTTATGAACTTCCCTGCTCCTCAAACCTCCATCTTCTTGCCGTTCCTCCTGTTGTTTAAAACGCAAATACGAGAAGATGCGTGCTCCCACTATGCTCCTTGTAAATAGAATGCTCTGTGACTTCAAATGTGTTCAAACAGCTCATTCGAGACTAAACTTTTTTTTCTTTATACGCTTATACTGTATGTGTCTATATTTATTATCTCTGTTCGGCCTTGTTGAAGTGATTTATGAAATGTGCTATATAAAAACAGTTCCTTTCCTGATTCAAAAGTCAAAGATGCCCTCGATGGTTTTACAGGTTTTTCTTTGTAAGGATCATGTGAAAATTAAACATGATAATAATGAAATAATTATAATTATAATAATAATGCTTTGGTTTTATACAGCACTTTTTTGAACATTCAAAGATCTCACAAGGAATTATTGATTCACTATGTGGCGTTGAAATACTGTTGCCACAGCTGCCCTGAAGCAGACTGATGGAACCAGTCAGTTCCATAGGCCCCTCCACCCACCACCAACCAGTGGTGAAGTGTCTTGCCCAAGAAAACAAAGACATTTTTGGCACTTTACAGCTGGAGCCACTGCATTGTGGCACCTGGGGTTCCCATAGTTCTCCCATCAAAGTACTCACCAGGCTCTGTCCTGCTTAGCGTTTGAGGTTTGACAGGATCTGGCTTTCACATGCAAGTGGCACCACATTAGTTTTAAAACATTAGTTGTATTGTAACTAAGCAATTATAGTATTTTAAGTAATCCCTACTTCTCTAATTCACAATATACAAAAGACAAAGGCATGTATTCCCAAAGACAGTGGTTCACAAGTAGGGGCGTGCCCATTGCAAGAGGGGGGGGGGACAAATGAATGAACAAAAATACAGTAGGCTAGCATAAGATGGACACATTTTTGACGCAGCTCCCACGTAAACGCAAAGCAGAGGATGAAGCATCGCCTCATGCGCTTCCAAAGCAATTTCCTTCCAAGGCAAAGACTAGAAAATATGACGAAAATGTTGAGGTTTGCCACATTACAATCTGCACATTACAAGTCCAGAAAGTACAGCACAATTCATACACAAGGCAACTCAAAGTGCTGAACAAAACAGGATAGCATTATAATCATAAATAATCACAGTACATTAAAAAGAAAGGTACATATATAAAATCCCAGTTGTATGCACAGTTTAAAAGAACTGTTTGTAAGCTGGGTTTAAGCATTGTCAGAGAGGAGGCCTGTCTCACATTTTCAGGAAGATTTTTCCAGATTTTAGCAGCATTAATCTGAAATGCAGCCTCCCCATGTTTAGTTCTTTATATTATATTATCATGATCAAAACACAGTCCTCATCATTTTTCTAAGAGCACATTTGAAAACACTTCTTCCTGGTATGTCACATGTCCATTCCCAGTTATTACAGATACAATTTCTATTTTATAACGGCTTCATTATTTCAAAATACTGATACAATAATGGTCTACATACAGTAGTATTCTGTGAGGCAGCCCAAATCACTGCTCTTTTTTCTTTCTTATATGCAAAGCAATGTCATGCAGTGGAGATGTACCTTGTAATTTCCCAACACCTTTTAACACGATGTGCGTACGGGGTGAGCTGCTATCTTTAATGCATGGGCTAATTTAACAGATCTCTCAGTATTCAGTACCACAGAAAGCCGACCTATTTGTGAGATAACATTCATTTAACTCAAATATAACCTCTTTGCTTCGCAGACCTCCAGTTTGACCTTTCCAGTTGAGACCTCGCGGCGAACGCTCTCCGCCCGCTGTTGTAAAAATGAGAGAGTACATGCAGAAGTCGATAGCCCCTGGAGAAAATCCACTGCCTCAGCATCCTCAACCTCCCGACTTCCTGAACGCAAGGGTCAGGGGCCAATAATGAGCCGTGTGTGTGTGTGTGTGTGTGTGTGAGTGTGTGTATGTGAGCATATGGTTTATATCACCGGCAAGGAACAGCCTTTCAGATAAGATCCTACCAGACTCTTTGCATGAGGATAGTTATTCCGGTGGGTGGTCTCTGGCTGCTGCAGCTGGAATGGAATGGGTTTGACATTGGAGCAGCAGAGAAGCAGAAAATTGAGTGTTTGACGTGGCCAATCTTCAGGAATCGCTTGGTCGTGTCAACAATCTCAGCTGCGTTGTAGTGTGTAGTCAAATTCAGATTGAATGAATGTCAGGGAAAAGATGCAATTGTTTTATTGGTTCTTCAGCCTAAATATGTGTACTATATAAAATGGCACCCTCCTAGAGGCACAGTTCCAAGCAAAAAATGAATCCAGACAATTATTAGGATCACCTCATTGTGAATCAGTTGTTCAATTTTCAAAGTACTCTAATTTAATTAATTTTTAATTAATTTTAAGTATCTTTAAATCAATCAATTATGAAACATACTGTGGTACATACTGTATATCACCATAGTAGTAATAAAATGCTAAATGTCACTGTCAACTCTTCTCTGTATACATGTAGCAAAGTTATTTCAGTCTTTCTCAATACTTTACAGTGTATTTTAATTGTTTTGTATTAAGTGTAATTGGAATTATACTGTGAACACTGCATTTTCATAATAATGTTATATTTATCATAGTTTTTTTTAAATCTTTTTTTTTTGCCGTGTTTTTTATTTAATGTGCAGCTTTGGTCTTCCAGCCACTTCTGTCCCCCACTATAAATTCTGGAATTTTCTGCTGCCTTCTTTTCAGGTCAGTCTCCTTGTGTTTTTGTGTCTAAAAATGTCTTGAGTTATAGTTTTGTCCTTATTCACACTTGTTATGCCCCTGAATTGTCATATATGTTCATACGTTTCTAGATAGTCACCTGGCAACAAAAAATATTTATCTCCATTGTGAGATCAATAAAAGTCTATCTTATCTTATCTTAGTTTCGACTGGGACTGTGTTACAGAGGCAGATGCTTTTATTGTCATGACTGGATAAAAGAACAACTCAAAGTCCGTCTCCCGTGTGTTTCTCCGCATTACATCTAAAAAACACCACGGAACGGAAAACTACAACCCCGTCACACGAAAAGGACAAAGCCGGATAACCAGCATTGTCCTTATCGTGCTTTTAAAATTGACTATTAGCGGAAAAAATTATACATGTGCATTCAATGCATTTGCATTCAGACAATAAATCAAAATATTGCTTTACTTCCAAAACCTTCATAGAATTCTTTCCTCTTCGCAGAGATATCAAAGACCCTTGTCTTCCCTCGGGCTCAGAGGGGGATTGGTATTCCTGGTGCGACGTGATATTTGAAGTGATTAAAGGGAGTCATTGAGTAGAGGTGACAGGTGTAATGGAGAGCAGAGAGCGCTCGCCCGGCCATAACAGCCACAGGAGGGCCTCTTCAGCGGGACCAAAGTGCCAAGTGTGCTACTCCTTTCATCCTTATATTTACTGAGACTATTGTCACTGATTTGTGCAAGAAAAGACACAACATCAGATACACACAGCCTCTTTGAAATTCAGCCATGCTCGGCAAAGGCAGACAAGGAAACGTAGAGAGAGTTTCAGAAAAGGATTTATTAATTATTTAGTGCCTTCTGTTCACTTCTCATTGGTTGTCTTTGGTTGAAACAATAATGAGGGTGATTCATGTTGTAGATTGGAAATGTGAAAATTGCCCATGTCAAGTTTAGATTTCAGTTTTGCATGAGCTCTTTGCTTATGGATAGTCTTGAAAAATAGTTCTAATATGGATGAGTTGTGTGTCGTAAGTACATGGGTGGATGTCAATTTTTACTGCATGTAGCACATTCACAATATGAATGTGTTCCAATGCACAGGGAAAGAAATGTATTGTTGCAATGGACAGTAGTAGGAATAAAAAATACATAAAATAATAGATAGATAAAGATTTAGAGAATAATTTAAATCTGTATGTTCTGTATTTTTTCAGAACACTTAGTAAAACAGACGAGTAGTGATACTAGAGTTGTTAGCACTCTCACTTCTTAGCAAGGTCTTGGATTAAAATCCTGGTCAGAACAGCCTTTCTGAGTTGAGTTTGCATGCTCTCCCTGTGTCTGCGCGGGTATCCTCCAGGGGCTCAGTTTTCCCCTATAACACTAAAAACATGTACAATAGGTAAACTTCTCCGGCTCCTTAATACTAACCAATCCAAGCATCAACATCTGGGAGGACCTTGAGGTTCTGCAGGATGGGCCGTATGCAAACACACATTTCCCTATACTGGGACAAGGCTGTCTACTTTAACCTTAAATGCATCCAGAAATAGGCTGTGTTTGACTAATATTCACATTTTGATGGCTACTAATTATTCTGTTGATTGTAATTTATTGAATTTATGTGTGTGAAATGTCCAAATAGTGAAATCGAGGTCAGGATCATGTTTCTCCTGCCCCATGTTTCTCAGAGGCTTCTGTGGTTTAGCCCAGATGTTCATGTTTATATAGGGCTGAAAAGAACATTCTTTATAATTGAGATGGCAGAGACTTTTATGACCATTCCAGATGGATAAAAAAAAATACTAATATATTAATAACAGTTTGGTGACTTGTAATCGCACAATTATGACATTGATTTTTAACTTTTGTGCCATAGAAACACATACCAACACTCTTGGTTTTGCTGCACTATTGTATGGAGTGTGTATAAGAAAAATGGCATGTCTTTGAGTGTCCAGAAGAGCGCTAAATAAAACCAATACATTATTATTATTTGAAAACAGTAGACAAGGCTGGACTGCTTCTTATAACAAAAATATATATGGGATACAGAGGTAAACATACCATCTCAAATCTGTTCTATT